TGGTCCTTATCTCAACCCATGAACCTTTCATTATATTTTCTCTCCCCTGTCCCTTTTTGTGGAGGGAAGTGAGAGAGTGGCTTTGGTGGGTGCCTGGCATGAAGCCAGGGTCAACCCACTACACTTGGCTAACAATGGAAACAATGAAGAGCAGTATCTCTGCGTAATCTTGAGTTTTTAGTGTATATCTCCATTAAATGCACTGAAGTTAAATAAGTAACACAGAACCCAGGAACACTGACATGCCAAAATATGATGTGGTGCCCGAAATGAAAACCCAGAATTCCAGTGCATTAAGCTAATTTTCTCACACAGTAGATTGGATGATGAAACATAAAGGAAGAGGTAAAACATTTATGGACCCTTATAACAGATGCTGACACATTTATGCAAATGTTATAGAGAAAGGGAGGTGAAGAATACATAAAATTACATATTTTGCTATGAATATGCACTTTCTGGTTATTCCTAACAAGGCATTTCCCTAGCTCTAGAATTAACAGCTAGTAGAGAGCTACAGAAAAAGGCAGAACCCAAGTAAGTTGTGAAAATCATAGAAAGAAAAGCCCTGAGAAAAGGCTCTAAGAATAGTACTGAACAGTACCTGAGCAGATAACACCATCTTGATTTAAATCATGAGCTTTAGTAAAATTATCATCTTTTTGCATTGAAAAGGCTGTTCATCCAAATTCAGGCTTTGCAAGGCTGTGAATCACCAGGTGAAAGCAGAAAAGTCAACACCTCCCGAGACGATAATGAACATTGGCAGTAGTTGTCCATTGCCACCATCACATATCAGAGCTGGTGCTCCCAAGAAGGCAGGGCACTTCACTGTGACTTTCTCACTCAGAAGAGCCCATGACAGAAAATTATAATATGCATATGATCTGTGGTCTCACCTTGTGAATCGAAAGAGGATGGCAATGGGCTTACAGCCAAGCACGCACTTGATGTCACCAACGTGGATATCCAGAAGGGATTTTTCAGGGTTTCTCATGAAATGTGATTCTTAGAGAGATCCATCTGGAGTGAGTCTTCACCTGGATACTGACCTGGTTAAAAGATAGGAGTCAAAAGTAGGAATAAATTATTTTCTTTTCCAATAGAGAGATGTTATCACCAGGGCTCTGCAGGAACATGGTGTAAGGCTGGCTTACCCTTGGTTCTCATGTGATGTGAAAAGGGCAGTGATCAATGATACAACACTGTGGAAAACTTTACATGATTGAGACTAACAAAAACAAAATCTGCCTGTGAAGATCTTCATAAGAGTCTTAGGATACCAAGTGACTGGATCGTGATATTCATTAAACTCAGCACTGATAATTGCAAGGTAGAAAGAAATGCTCTTGACATGTATTCTGATGGACCCTGAACTGACTACTCAGAAATGGGATCAGAAGAAATGTGAGATGTATTCTGAGATAAAATTTAAAAAGGAAATCTACTTTTAAAATATTCTAGGGTAGCAACAGAAGGAAAAACCAAAACCAAAACAGAAAACAAAAAATCCCAACCCAAACAAAACCAAACCAAAGCCAAACCAAAACAAATAAGCAAAGAAACAAAGAGGCAAACAACATACCCCCTAAAAAGAAAAGAAAAAACCACAACCCCCCCCCGTGCTATCTAGACATTTGAGCTGATACAGTACAGCTGCTCTTATACTCCTACACAGGAATAACAAGAAAGCAAGACATCTCAGTGATTCAGAATATCTTCCTACCCCAATCTAAAATCTATTAAAAAAAAAACCTTCCAGGCTTTTTTTATCCAATGGATGAATGGCTCCCAGAATTGGGGGGAAAAA